AACCTCTGGTGAGCCTCTGAATTTGGCTTCGGCTACGAATTTACCATAGTGAATTCTTTTTGACAGAGCCTATAGAATGTAACGCACACATTCAAAAAGCTTAAATCACGATAAAAAACGAGTGTTTCAAATAATATATTTTACATATATATACCTGCAGGCAAATTGTGTCGCAACTCGCAGTTGATCCATAATTACCGTCATGCCCTTCTTTCACTAATCGAGGGAGCAGATTCTTGAAATACATATCCCACACTTGGGAGTTTATATTTATAGAGTCTGACGAGGGATGCAGAACCTATTAAGAGTTCCAATATATCATTCCATGAAAAGTAACAAAAACGATAAATGCATATTTGCAAACTTTGTCTGAAACTTGAAGTAATTTACTCATTTAGAACGGCTTTGATAATATTATCCTTGTTACGGTGTAATTTCCGTTAAGGTTTAGCATTATAACAAAACAACACGAAGTTCTCTTCTAAAAATGAACAAATACAACTAATAACCAATTAAATTTCAACAATTAAACCTTGATTCTAACACTGTTAAATTCTAATAATTACCCGTGGATATTGCAATGGTGGCAGCATCGGCTCGTGCACGTCATCCGAGAAGAAAGGATGCTCATCTGGACTCTTGTATCTTCCAACCTAGAAAAAAAAAACAGCATTTAGCATACTAAAAAATGTTTTAAAAAATATTATAAATCTAGAGCAGAGTTAAGCTGACCTTGCTATGTAGCTTCTCGGTTTCTTTGATCATGTACTCGACTAATGAGCCGTTAAATCCATCCATGGCAAAGGCATTGAGATCATATGTCTCCTCATTATAGCAAAATTGAGCCCTTTCAACCAGACTGAATATTATGCTATCCTCTTGCCTTATTAATGAGTTCCGTATACCGTCAAGAGTGTAGCTTTGGGTCTCGTCTACCCTATTTTTCGACAACGCTCTGAAATGCAAGTAACAAGATCAATCACTTACTGTAATAACAAACTTCAAAGATAATGGTGAACACAGAAGCACATGCTCATTTCAAGAATAATGAAGGAAAAAAACAGAGGTTAAGTATATTGTTTCACAAGCATCTATACCTTTTCACCAGTAAATATATTACTAGTACTAATACCCATGTACAACATGGGTGTTAAGTTAATGAATATATGTGTAAAGTTATTTATGTATAATACCAAACCTAACTCCAGATTAAAAATTATATAAAAACAACATCACGAAACATAGATTTTCGTCATGTCAGCATCCAAAGCGTGAGAATCTGCCACCTAGGCTCAACACGTTTTGAATTAATATATAGGAAGGGATATTATATGAAATTTATGATGGTAAAGGTCCTCTAGAGACTGAAATAACTGCAAGTGCCCCTTTTTTCAATAAAATATTATACTACCTCCTATTCTTTTTAAATGTTATTTTGGCTTTATCAACTATTAACCAAATAAATGTCGTTTTGGGTATTTGGTACATGTTTTTCTATTATTACCCTTATTTAGTCAATAAATACACTACGTCTTTTCATATTTACTCTTCATCTTTTCCCAAAACATTCATCTTTATCTTCATTAAATAGGGTTATTATTGACAACAAAAGTATTCTTAATTACTGTGTCACTTCTCAAAACGACATTTATTTTGAATAGGAGGGAGCATATGAAATCATGACTTCCCTCCAACAAAGCAAAACCGCAAAATTGCATACATTATCGTGACCTTGGAAGAAGAAGAACAACAACTGAACAACAACAAGGACAAGATGAAGAAGAAGAAGAAGAAGAAGAAGAAGAATTTTTAACTGAACAACGATCCAGTTATCAACCAAAAAAACTCAGACCCAACAGCTCAAATTGAATTCAAATTGGAAAGGGGGAGGAAAGGGAAGTCAGTATTGTACCCAATAGTGGCCGTGGAGGCACGAGCCGCCGCCGAGACCCCATCGCCGGAAAACTTCTGAAAAACCTTGAGACGGTGGCTCAACTTCTTATGCCCCGTTTGACGGTGAGAAACCCAACTGGGCCTCGAGATTCCGGGACTTGCGGCTCGCAAAAGCTGGGCCTCCATTATTCAGCCCCGAAAAATAAAAAACCCAAATGAGGAAAGAGAAAGGGTATGCGATTGAAGAACAATTTAGGTGAAATTAAAACGCAAACAAGACGAACAATCTACAAAATTTTGGGGGTGAGCTGAACGGTTCATAATTAGTTAGTGTAAATTAATAAAGGTTTAGTGGTTGTCTAATCAATCTTTAATGGAAAATGAGTAATTAATTAGATGAGTCAATTTAGTAATGACCACAAGATAACTTTATGTTTTACAAACTGTAAAGAGAAGTTATAATAAAAATATTATAAATAAAATTAATGATGCATATAAATTAATTCAGAATTTAATATTCTCTTACTTTTTGCATTAATTAAGTATAACAATAATTTTTTCACTTATATATATATATAAAGAGAACCGATTTACTAAAAAAGTAACAAGAAAAGTCAACCAGTATTTAATTTTATTTTCGGTAGTTTTTTAGTTTTCTTTTAAAACTAGTACAACACCCGTGTATTACACGGGTGCTTGTTAAAAAATTATTCTTAAATTTTAAAATTAATGAGAAAACTATATTAAATTTAGTTTACTTTTTTTACCAAAAAAA